GAGCAGCAGCAGCTGAAGGCCCCTGAGCTGGGCTGCAGCCATTGCCTGGGACTGGCCACTCTTTGGGAAGCAGGAACCAGCCGAGGGAAGCCCCTGTCGCTGCTGCTCCGGCTGTTCTGGCATTGTTTTAGCCCCGGACCTTTTAACTTGTTTTAATTCCTAACGCTTCCCACCACCCTTTTTTTTTTTTTTTTTTAAGTCTCTTTCCTAAATCTCAGCCGAGTTAATGAAGTTATGTGATCCTATAAATGTTAATTGTCTAAACTTCTCTTCTCTCCCCCGTTTTTTCTTTTTTTTTTTTTTCTTTTTTTTTTTTTATCTCTCTCCTCCTTGCTGCTTTCTGCTCCACTTGTAATAAAGAAAATATCTTGGCTGGTCTTAGCCAGTTGCTTGGCAACCTCAATAGAAAAAAAGAGAACAGAATGTAACCAATCCCGAGACAACCGAAAGATTTTGGTGACATGTGACCTCTCGGAAAAGGGCAGCCTTAAACTGTCCCTTCTGTCCTTTGCTCTGACCATTAGGGTCTCTTGCCCTCCTTCCCCCCCCGGTTCCTTACACCAATAAATATGGATTAGTGAAATACTTTTTCCCACACTGATGAAAAGCCGGGATTGATCTTTCCACCTCCTTTATCTACCAACCTGACAAGTTTCTAAACAAAATTAAGAGGGAAGAGGCGAAAGGAGCCATCCCAGGTTGGGCGGCCGGGAGTGGATCCTGCCCCGCCGTGGGGATGGGGGGTCCCCCCGGGGCTCTGGCGCCGGCTGTGCGGGGCTGCTCTGCTCTCCGTGTGCTGCGGAGCCTCTGCACGGCACCACCGGTTAGGAAATAAATGTAGCTCTTCAAACAAAAAAGGAGAAAAAAAAATTAAAGCCCTGGCCAAGCCCTGCTCTCCTCGATGGGCGCCTGTGTGTCCTGGCGAGACCTGTCCTGCTCCTCGCCGCCGAGCCCCAGCGCTCGCGGGCGGTCGGGGAAGTTGTCTGCAAATTTCATCCTGGAATGAAAAAAAAAAGAAAACAAACCCACAACATGATGTCATTGGCTTTCTGGTGTAGCCCGCCGGCGCCCCTCCACCTGCCGCCGGGCGCTGCTTGGCCGTGAACCCCGGCAGGACCCCGAGCTGGGCACGGGGGTCAGCCGGGCACAGCCCGAGCTGGGCACAGCCCGAGCTGGGCACAGCCCGAGCTGGGCACAGCCCGAGCTGGGCACGGGGGTCAGCCTGGGCACAGCCTGAGCCTCGGGCATCAGGCTCTCCCAGGCTCCCGGGGCGGTGAATGCCTCTTTCAGCAGTTCCCCACTTCCCCAAAAAGCATCACCTTGCCAGCTCCCTTCCTCCCACCAGCTGCCAGGAAAAAAAATTAGGGCAAGGACAGGGAGTGAGAGCAAAACCAATGAACTTGTTTCCAGCTTTTCCTTCGGATCAGCCGTCCAGCACCGGGAGAAAAACATTTCTCCTGTAAAAAGCCTCCCCTCTCCGTGCAGGCTGCGATCCCGCCGTCACTGGGACACGCTGGAGACTTGGTCTCGGCTCGGCAGCAGAAGACACCGTAAGTCGTCTACTTAAACAGTTTCCTGGTTTGTTTTTGTTTTGGTTTTTGTTTTTTTTTTTGTGCCGGTTGTGCCACGGTTCGGGGGCTGAGACCCACGGGGATGGAGGAGGAGGGGCAGCGCCCAGGGGGGCTGCGGGGGGCGCGGGGTGCGGGCAGGGTGCCGGGCGGGGGCCGGCGGTGCTGGGTGCCGGCAGCCCCGGGCGCACAAAGCCCCTTTGAGCTGCTCACAGAGGAGCTGCTGATCCCCCGCCGGCCCTCGGAACCGGAATGGCCACCGCAGAGGAGAATGGAAGCCTGGACACGCGGGAGGGCAGCTCAGGGCTCTGGGTCTGTCCCCGTCAGGGACAGCTGCCCGGGGGGGACCCGGCCCCACTCTGAGCCCTGAACTCGGGGTGCCCAAACCATGGGCTGGTCCCTGGCCAGCCCCGCTGGAATGGGGAGCTGCGGGGAGCAGGGGTGCCCCCGCCATCCCTCGCTGCCTCCCACCACGGGGCACGGTGACACCCACGAAGCCACCAGGCCGTGCGCTCCGGGGTGGCCGCGGGAAGGCTGCAGCGCAGAGTGGAGAGGCAGGTGGGACCAAACGGGACCCGGTGGCACCTGCTGGCACCCGGTGGGACCCAGTGGGACCCGGCGGGATCCGGTGAGCCCCGGTGGGACCCGGCAGGCCCTGGCAGTCCTGCTGCCGAGGCCGGCTGGCCAGGCACAATGCACGGCCCCTCTCCTGAGCCGCCGCCGAAGCCCCTTTCCCAGCGTCGAGCGCCTTTGTCTCGCCTTTGTGATGGAAAGAGCCCCCCCTCCTAAATCACTGCCCTGACACCCCCATTGTCTCCTTCCCGGGGAGGTTTGAAACTTCCCCCCCCCCCCCGAGGTCAGGAATGTGGCCGGTTTCTATTGGGACGGAGGAGCAGGGCTGGGTGGGGGGCTGCGGGGTCACGCCGGCTCGGCGGGTCAACCCGAAAACAAAACCTTTTGAAATACCTACTCTCCATCACTGCCAACATTGTCCCCTGCCAGCGGGGGCCTGGCACGGCCCCTCGACGCCTCCAGCCCGGCCGCTGCCCACCCCAGCGGTCAGCAGCTGGGGGGGGACAGAAGGGTATTGTGCCGAAGGGGACAGCTTTGTTTTCGGTCACAGCTGCCCCGGGCTGGGACGGGACCGACCGTCAGCCCCACTGGGCTGAGAGGAGGGAGGGGACAGAGGGGACAGGAGTGCAGCAGTCAGGGCATTGCAGGGGGCACCTGGCCCATCGGGTACCCTCTGTCACTGTCTGTCTGAGGTGTGGCACTGGGGGGACAGAGGGCAGCTCCCTGTTGGCTCTGGAGTGAAGCTCAGGGTGTGCAGCCTCTCCGTGTTGACAGCCTAGTGTCGGTTTTCTGCCTCAGTTTCCCCTTGCCTGCAGGAGGTGTCCCTCTGCCCACTGACAGGTGCCTGGGGTCCCCTTTGACAGCCAGAGCCAGGACGCTGCTGGCCCTGATGCCAATGTCATCCAGACTGGGGAGAAAAGGGACCATCGTGAGGCAGAACCAGCTGTGCCACCCGGGAGGGTCAGGCCTGGGCCCTGCAGGGCCCGAGCGTGGCTCCCAGGGTGGCAGTGCCTTGCAGGTGGAGCTGAGCACGGCTTCCTGCTCCCAGCAGGACGTGAGGAAGGACCCTCAGGAAACCTTCACACCCCCAGAATTCCACAGCCCACCAGGAAGACCCCACCTGGCCTCCCAGTGTGCTGGGCTTTGGGGGACACTGGCAGTGTCACTGCCCCATTTACAGTGGCACAAATCCCCTTTTCCCACAGCCAGGATGAGAATGCTGCTCCCATCAGCCCCCAGCTCCTCTGGCACAACATCTCTTGGGTGGGCCAAAATCCCCCCGGGTGGCCAAAATCCCTCCCAGGATGGCCAAAATCCCTCCAAGATGGCGTAAATTCCCCTGAATTTTTCTGTGTGGGAAGATCTGTAGTTTTTGCTCGCTGCAGGAGCAGCCTGAGAGGAGGAAAGTGGAGCAGCGCCCATGGATGTGATGGGTTTAGCAGAGCCCTGGAAGGAAAACCCAGCTGAGAGGGGAGCGCTGGCCTCCTGAGCTACCCAACAGCTGGGAGGTGGGGAAAACAGCTGGAACAGCTGGAATGGTGCAGGGTGAGGGGCTTGCATAGCACAGGGCATGGTGGATCCACAGCACTCCCTGTCCGGAGTTCCCCCTTGACAGGTATTTGCTGGGAGGCTGAGAAGCAGGGGGAGGGCTCCGTGCCTCAGTTTCCCCAGCAGGAAACAGCTGATGTTTTGAGGCTGGATAAGTCAGGGGAGGTCTGGAGAAGGCATGTCTGGAGGGGACAGCATCATCTGGCCAGTGTCACAGCGTGGGAATGGGGACCCTTGGGAGAACCATGGGCTTTGGGCAGCTAGTTGGGTCCCCAGGATGTTTTTTCTTCTGAAAAAAGATTAATGCTTTTTTTTTTGTTGACCAAGGGCCTTGTAGTGGCCTCAGCCGTGTACACACACACAGAATTTCTGCATTTATAGATACATATATATATACACACACACATATCTTTATATATTTGCCTTTTGCAACCAAGGTTGAGCCTTTTAAAGCAGAAAATAGGACATTTGAGGAAACTGGAGCTTTTCAAAGGCTTTGCTGAAAATCCTAGAAAATTTCAAGGAAGGGGTGGAGAGAGGTGGGAGGTAACCAAAATCCTCATCCCTGTATCCAAAAGCAACTTTTTCCTGTAAAAAAAAGAAAACATACTCCTGTAAACTTTGTGCAGAGCTGCTCCTGGCTGGAGCCTTGGGGATGGAAGGTGTTTTTGCAGGCAGGATGCTTGCAGGCCCGATGCTGGCTCTGTGTTGCAGGTATCACCATGAGTGCCCGGAGCTGTGAGGATGTCCTGAGCCCCCTGGGGACACCCTGGGCCCTGTGGGGACATGCCAGCTGCCCTCCAGGCCTGCTCCTGGGGCACAGGAGTGTCACAGCCCTGTGCAGACAGAGCTGCTGAGCCACAGCACGGAGCTGGGTGGGATGTCACCCTGAGGGCCACACAGCAGGTGCCCTGACAGGTATCTCCGTGTCCCCTTCTCCCGAGCTCAGCCAGGGCTGGTTTTCCATGAACTGCTCGTAAGGTGCCACTTGGCTCTCCGTGGGCTCTGAGGGTCCACAGTGAGCCCAGCAGCAGCCAGGATGTGAGGGGAAGGCAGGTTGCAAAGGCAGAGATAACTCTGACCCCAGCTGAGCTTGGGAGGACAGGCACAGGGTGCTCTGTCCCTCTAGCAGCCCCAGTCTGCCTGTGTGCAGCACACTGCCCTGGCTCGTGCCTCAGTTTCCCTATGCCACATGGTGGTCTCCCTTCCTCCACCTTTGGGGTGATGGGGCTGTGGGAAGGGCAGTGTCCCCCTCTCCTCTCTGCTCTGGAGCCCACGGCTGGGGAGTGCTGGTGAGGGCTGTACCAGGCCAGTGGGGCCACGGCGGTGCTGGGGTGCCAGGGGAAGGGCAGGGCCAGCTGAGGGACAGTGCAGTGATGGAGGGATGTGGGGATACCAGGATGAAGAAGGGAAGGGATGCAGGGATGGAGACATGAAGAGATGAAGAAGAAAAGGGATGCAGGCATGAAGAAGAGCAGCGATGAAAGAACGGAGGGGTGAAGGGCTGGAGGGGTGTGGGGATCAGGGATACAGGGATGATGGAATGCAGGGATGCAGGAAGGCAGGGGGAGAGCGTTGTGGGGATCAGATCCAGTTGGGGCAGAGCCCGGCTCCCCACCGGGAGCGCGGCGGCGCCGGGAGGTGGCAGCAGCGGCCGGGCCGGGGCGCGGGGGTGTCCCCTGGGCCGGGGGGGCCGCGGCATTCCCGCTGCCCCGCGGGCCCTGCTCCGCCCTCAGCCCCTCCCGGGCCGCGGGGCCGTGCTCCGGGGCTGCCCTCGTTCAGCCCTGCCGGGGGATGCGCACGGGTGGGGTCCCGACACGGGCACGGGTGGGTCCGGCTCTGCTGGGCTCTCGGGCGCCTTCCCGCAGCTCCTCAGTGGTTGGGAATTCCCGGCTGCGCTGGCGCCGAGTCCTTCCCGAAATTCTTGTCCGAGCCGGGGCTGTAAACAGCATTTTTCTCTCCTTGCAGTCTCTGCCGGGTCCTGTGAGTCCCCCGCCCTCTCTGTTGCTTCTTTCAGGTATTCCTGGACTGGATTGTTCACTTCCCGAGCCCTCTGCTGCACCCTGATGGAGCTCCACAGGGAGCCGGCGACAGCAGGCCCTGGGGCACCCCTCACCCTGGCACGGGTGGGCACGGGTTTGGCCTCGCGTGGCACCCACCGTCCCTCCCCAGGGCTCTGGTGCCGCCACAGTGAGAGGTGCCCGGCATTGCTGGTGGGGAGTGCGGAGTCACTGCCCTGCAGGACGTGACCACCTCCAGGCCTGCGCTGCTCTGGGAGCCGAGCAAGGATTTATTTATGGATTGGGTGGAAAACCAGAAGGTTTGGTCAATCGTCCCACAGGCCCCGGGCCTGCCCCTGCGGCTCGGACACGTCACGGACACGCCTTGGTCAGCCGTGGGGGACAGCCCGGGGGACACGGCTCTGTGGGGTGTGCTGCCTTGGGGAGCACGGCAGCCCTGGGCCCCCTGAGCCCCCTGAGCCACCGCCCGCCACACAAGCCCCCCTCAGCCACAAACCCCTCTGGCTTGTCCAAACGATCCCTTGTCCATGAGCCCCTGGAGATGATGTCCCCGGCAACCAGCGCCCTTGGCCATATTGCCCCAAACCATAAACCCCCATCCCAGTGCCCACCCACCCACGCCGTGCAGGCACCGTGGGGACCCGGCCACGGGCACACGGGGATGCCCTGCAGCATCCTCGGGAGGGGGTCCCGGGGTGTCCCCGGTCTCTCTCCCCCCAGCCATGGGCTATGCGGGGCTCTGCACCGATATCGACTCTATTTAAGGAAGCCCGACCCACACCGGCCCCCGGAGCTCGCTGCGGCGGCGGGGCCGGGCCGGGGCCGGGGGCGGGGGGTGCGCTGAGCACGGCGGGTCCCAGCCCGCCCCTTCCCCGCCCGCCGCCTCCGCCATGGGCGCCGCGGGGCCGCTCTGCGCCCTCCTCCTGCTGCTGGGCACCGGCACCGGCACCGGCACCGGGACCCGGCCGGGGCCGCCGCGCCTGGTACTCGCCCTGCTGGCCCGGAACGCGCAGCACTCGCTGCCGCACTGCCTGGGAGCCCTGGAGCGCTTGGACTATCCCGCGGGCAGCATCGCCCTGTGGTGAGGCTGCGGGACCCCCGGGGAGCGGCACGGATCCTGCGGGAGGAGAGGGCTGTGGGGGAATGGGCATCTCGGGGGGAGCCGGGATGCTGGAGTCACAGGGACCGCGGGAGCCCCGGGGAATGGGGAGAGTGGGGGAAGGAGGGTCCGGGGATTAAGGGAGGCTGTGAGGAGAATGGAGAGCCGAGGATAGCAGGGACCCGGAGGACAGTGCGGAGGGGAGCTAGGGAGAGTGGGGGAACTGGGGGCTCTTGGGTGGACAGAACAGATTCGAAGGAATGGGGGCCTGCGGGGAATGGGGATCTTTAGGGGGCAGGGACCTTCGGGAGGAACAGGGACCCCGCTGGTAGCAGCGTCCCCAGCCCCAGAATGTTAGGGGTGGCTCTGCCCCGTGTGTGGGACCCAGCAGGGAACGGGGAGGGGCTCGGGCTGCCCCGCGGTGCAGGGGCAGGACCCTCACCTCACCCTGAGGAAGCTGTGGGGCTGATGAGGGAGGGGACCCTTGTGCACAAGGGGATTCTGCATCATGAGGGACAGGCGCTGCCTTCCCCCTCCCTGCAGGGCTCACCCTCAGGCTCCCTTTCCCAAAGACACCCCCAAGCCCCCTTCACCGTGCTGGGGGTTGGCTGGAAGAGGAGTCTCCTGTCTCCTCGCTGCGCCACCGCCGTCTCTCGCCTGAACTTGTCGGAAACTTTTCTGCAGCTGCTTTTGCGGGGGAGCTGAGGCGGGGGCTGGCGGGGGGATCCTGGCGGGGCTGGGGCGGGGGTCAGCTGCCGGCAGGGGAAGGGGAAGGGGGGTCCTCACCTTTACCCTCTGCAGCCCCTGGGAACCCCCGGCCGCAGGACCCTGCGGGGTGTTTGAGCAGCCCGTGGAGCTGGGGGGATACAGATCCGGTGTTCTCCCCTGAATCCGCCAAATCCCCGTGACGCCAGTGCCTGGGGGATGTCCCGCGGCTCTCCGACAGGTCGAGGGTACCAAGGGGTGTGGGAACTTGGGGTTTGGCCCAGTGCAAGGTGGGCTCAGCTCTGTCTGTGCTGGGCTCTCTGTGAACATTGTTCTGAGGACGGGTGGGAGAACTGGGAATGGTGATGGTGCCCGGCAAAGGGAATGTTCAGGAAGGGGGATTTTTTGCTGTTGAGTCTTCCTCTCACTGCTGGAACAGTGGGATGCACAGGGGTACTGTGGGGTGCAGGGACAGGGGGACAAAGTGGCTGTGCTGCAATTCTCATGGTGGGCAGTCACAAGGCCGGGGTGAGGAGAACATGTCCAGGGCTGCCACTGGGATGCAGGGTGGGAGCTGTGGAACAGCCTGGCTGGCGGTGGCACTGAGGAAGAAATTACCAGTTAGTGTTCCCCCGCCTGCCTGCGCAGCCTTGGTTCCTTCAAATTACATGTTACATTCCCAAGCAAGTCTGTCACTGGCTCAGTCTTTTGGCCCCGTGAGCATTTCTAGTGCAGGGTGAGGCCTGGTTGTCCCTTGAGGAGGACTCCCAGAGGCTGATGTCCCCTCATCTCAGGTGTGCAACAGACCACAACTCGGACAACACGACGGCAATGCTGCAGGAGTGGCTGGGGGCGGTGGGGAAGGACTATCACTCGGTGGCCTGGAAGGTGCAAGAGGAGCCCAGGTGAGGCTGGGTGGGGGCAGGTGTGGGCTGAGGGGCTCCTGGGGCAGCATCAACTCTCCCTGGCCAGTGACCAGGAGGAGCAAAGCAGAGTGGGGCTGACTCAGCCTGCCTGCACGAACAGCCTGCACTGAGTTTGTGCATTCCCACCAAGTGAGGTTAACCCCTGCCTCCCCCTGCCCAGCTCCTACCCTGATGAGCTTGGTCCCAAGCACTGGAGTGACAAACGCTATGAAAACGTGATGAAGTTGAAGCAGGAAGCTCTCACCTACGCCCGGGAGCAGCAAGCAGACTACATCCTGGTAAGGGGCTTGGGGCACTGGTGGGTGGGGGCTGAGGTGGCCTTCTGCACATCTCCAGAACCTGTGCTGTCTCGGCAGTTCATGGACACCGACACCATCCTGACCAACAACCAGACCCTCAAGTTTCTCATGGCGCAGAACAAGTCAGTGGTGGCCCCCATGCTGGACTCGCAGACCTTCTACTCCAACTTCTGGTGTGGCATCACCCCCCAGGTACGTCCCCAGAAAGCCGGGCAGAATGAGACAGCCCATGGTGGAGGAGCACTCTGCCATGGGGGCACTGTGCCGGTGCACACCGCAGGGGTTCTATCGCCGGACAGCCGACTACTTCCCCACCAAGAACCGGCAGCGGCTGGGCTGCTTCCGTGTCCCCATGGTCTATGCCAGCTTCCTGATCGACCTGCGCAAGGAGGAGACCTTGCAATTGGCTTTCTACCCGCCCCACCCCAACTACACCTGGGCCTTCGACGACATCATTGTCTTTGCCTACTCCTGCCAGGAGGCTGGTGAGGGTGATGGGGGTTTTGGGGGGTGCAGGGGCGGGGGGGGCTGTGCTGCTCACCTGTCTCATCCGGCAGGTGTGGAGGTCTATGTGTGCAACCAGCACCACTTTGGTTACATCAATGTTCCTGTGAAGGCCCACCAGACGCTGGAGGATGATCATGCCAACTTTGTGCATCTCACGCTGGAGGCCATGGGTGAGGGCTCATGGGTGGAGAGGTCCTGCAGGCTTCTAGATCCTGACAGGGCTGTCAGCCCCAGCTCCTAGCCAGGGGAATCTGGGCTCCACTGAAGAGTGTCTCCTCTCTCCACAGTGGATGGTCCCCCCATGCAGCGCTCCAGACATATTTCTCTCCTGCCCAGGCCACTCACAAAAATGGGCTTTGATGAAGTAAGTGCCCAGTAGAACCACTTGTGTTCCCCTGTCCATCGCTCTGGTTGCATCCATCTCTCTGATTGCATCTATCCATGGCAAAACCCAAACCCCTGTCCCCATCCTGCAGCAGCTGGGCAGGCTGTGTGTCCCCATGACAACACGCCCCATTGCTGGGGCTCTCCTCTTCCTCCCCAGATCTTCCTAATCAACCTGGTGCGGAGGCCAGACCGGCGGCAGCGAATGCTGGCATCCCTGCAGGAGCTGGAGATCATTCCACGGGTGGTGGATGCTGTGGATGGCAGGTGACCATGGGGGACCACTCAGCCAGTCCCTTGGTGTCAGCCTGGTGAGGGGACGGGGAGTGTCTGGTGGGACACCTCGCTGATGCAGCCCCTCTCCTTGCAGCACCCTCAACAGCAGTGACATCAAGGTGCTGGGTGTGGACTTGCTGCCCGGGTACTACGATCCCTTCTCCGGCCGCACACTCACCAAGGGCGAGGTTGGCTGCTTCCTCAGCCACTACAATATCTGGAAGGAGGTATGGGGCCACAGCGGCCATGGGGTCCCTAAGGGCCACCAGCAGTGGGCAGGGACCTTGTGAGCATCACAGATGTCTGGAGGACCTGGGGAGAAGGGGTGTCCTACAGGGTCAGTGGCCCCAGTACAGCCCAGAGGAGAGCTGGGACAGGCTGGCACCTCTGCCCTCCACAGATCGTGTCCCGGAGGTTGGAGCGGGCAGTGGTCTTCGAGGATGATGTGCGCTTCGAGGCTGCCTTCCCAGCACGGCTGCAGCGGCTGATGGAGGAGCTGGAGCGGGCACAGCAGGACTGGGACCTCATGTAGGTGTTGGGCCAGGGGGATGTGGGGTGGGGCTCCCAAGGCTGGCTCTCATGGTTCCCTGGCCGCCCCACAGCTACCTGGGGAGGAAGCAGGTGAACGATGAGGATGAGGCACCTGTGAAAGGCGTGCGGAACCTGGTGGTGGCCGGGTACTCGTACTGGACACTGGCCTACGCCATCTCCCACCAGGGGGCACGGAAGCTGCTGGCCACCAACCCCCTCTCCAAAATGCTGCCCGTGGACGAGTATCTGCCCATCATGTATGACAAGCACCCCAAGTAAGGAGCAGACTGTGCAGGAGGGTGCTGGCCTGGCCATGCCAGGGTGGGACAATGTGTTTCTTCTCTGCTGTCACCACCTCACCCAGTTCCCCCCCTTGCAGGCGTTACTCATGCTGGAGGAAAACATCTGTAGCATGAGCTCATTCTCAGCCGGCCGCTGCCTGGCCACTGGCCGCTGGAAAATGGCCCTCTGCCAGCATGGGGGGGGAATGGGAACAGAGCTGGGGCTTGGTGTGGGCCCTGCACAGGGTCTTGGCCCCATGGCAAGGAGCAGGGACCAGCCCCCTGTACTCTAGTGGCGGGGGGGCTCTGTGGTCCCCTGCCCCTGGTTGGGGGTCTCAGCCCCAGTTTGGAGCACTTTCATGCCCCTCTCTGGGGTGGGGGTCAGCGGTAAGGCTTTGTCTGGGGAGGGGAAAGCAATTTAGGGGGTGAGTGAGCACCAGTGGGTGGGTGTCCTGGGAGAGAAGGGATTGGGAAACCCAGTGAACAGGATGGAGAAACACACGGATCGGGCATGTAAAAGACAGGCTGGAGGTGGACGGAGGGACGGATTAGGGCTCTGGATGTGCACCAGCAGCAGCTGGAAGCCCCTTGCTTACAGGCATAACAGCACCAGACAGCCCTGTCTCAGGGCCAGCTGGATGCTGTGCCAGACCCACTCTGTGCCAAAAGCCAGCCCCAGCTGATGGGGAGCGACAGGTCCTGTCCTCTCTGTAATCCCTCCACAGTCCCTGCCCAGCGTTCTCTGGCTCCATGCCTGGTACCCCACACCCCTCCCTATCCCGTGTCCTGCATGGAGCCTTCCCTGGGTGGTTGATTTGGTTTTCCCAGTGCTTTTTCTCCTCTGTGCCATGCTCTGTAAGCAGTTTTATCTCTCGGGTCTGCTCCACTTTCCCCAGTGAGGATTACAAGCGGCACTTCTCCCCACGGGACTTGCTGGTGTTTTCGGCTCACCCCCTGCTGGTTTATCCCACTCACTATGCTGGGGACAGCAACTGGCTGAGTGACACCGAGACTTCCACCATCTGGGATGATGATGCCAAGAAGACTGACTGGGTTGGCTCGCAGAAGACACTGAGGGACTCACGGGGCAGTGCTGGCCACCTCCGCTCCACCCGTGACGAGCTCTGATGGTGAGCAAGACCGTGAGACCTGGGCACAGGGGACAGAGCAGCTGGGGAGCATCTCCCTGCATGTGCCATGTTCACGTGTCCCACATGCCTAGCTTGTTTTTGTCATGGGGCAGCAGCTCTCCCTGGCAGATTCAAAGCATTGGGAAACAGACCAGACTGTCTCATCAAGGTGGGGAAAGGGGTGGGGTCATAGATGTCCCATGTGGGGCTGCACTGGGCTGGAGAGGATATGGGGACAGGACCCTCCATCTCCCTGAGTCCATGCTGCTCCCCAGCCCCTGAAGTGAGGAAGGGAAAATGCTCCTTTGCCTGTTGCAAAAGCGTGGAAAGAGCTGGGGCATGTCCCAAGGGAACATTTCACCCCAGCACTGCTTGCTCCCCTCAGAAGTGAGTCTCCTTGGGCTGTCCGTCTGCCTGGCCATGCAGGCAGGCAGGCGACCCACGCCGGCTCAGCCCCAGGGCAGCATAGACACAATTAATGCTGGGTCAGACTTTCCCTGCCTGAGGTTGCTTGTCCTGGCAGCAGAACTGTCCTGGGAGCTGCCAGACCGGGGGAGGCTGGAAAACAGCCCTCCCACTGCCTCGGCTGCAGGCGTGAACACGTTGGGGCTGCTCCTGCCGTGACCGCTGACTGCGTCCATGTCTTCTAGGGATGAGGGACTGTGATCCAGCTGGGAGCACCACGGGCAAGGGCCTTATACTGCCCACCCCCACTCAGGAGATGCAGCTGCCCTGGACAGAGCCCCACAGGGTTCTTCAAATCTGCATGTGACGAATCCACCCAAGGCAGGATTTGCCCCAGGAAAGCCTTTCCCTGCCAAGTGGAGAGACCAGAGGAGCGCTGTGCTCTCTGTGCTGAGGACACATCTCCAGGACAGTCCCAATCAATGCCAACTCTGCCGTCTCCCACCAGCCTGGACTTTGGGGAGTGGACTTTGGGCTGGCACACATGGTGGCCTCCTGCCACTGACTGGGCTTGTCCCTCATGCCATGCCTGGGTGGAAGCCCAGGGAGGATTAAAGCAGACTGTTTGAGCTGATGTGCTGGGTGCTGGCATTGCCCCAAGCTCCCAGGGGTCACCTCGGTGCTGCAGGGGTGAGGGTCTGGCAGTTCCCCCAGCCGGGAACTTTGGGAATGAAATCTGTAAGGGGGAAAGAGAGGGAAGGAGAGAGGTGTGGGGGAGGAAAATTGAAGCTCACCCTTGGGGTCTGGGTGGGAAAGGTGGGTGGCATCTTCATGGAGCTCAGCTCTCCCCTGGGAGTGGAGGTGATGGAGCAGCAGGTGGAGGCCTTGGTAGCAGAACCCAGTGAGATGTCTGGGACTGCCAAGGGATTCGGGAAACCATCATTTGGGGCAGGCTGAACAGCTACAGCAGGGACCTCCTAAAGGAAAACAACCAGCTCCAGATGACAGGGGACCTGAAGATCCAAGTGGATCTCCTGGAGAACAGGGAGAAGATGGCCAAGTGCATGTTCTGCAAGTGCAGGGTCCCAGCCAGTACAGACACGGGTGAGGAAGGATGACAGGTTGGGCACACTTTTGCTTCCCAGCTTTTCCCCTGGTCCAGACAGCCTCAGTGCTCCAGGAGGAGCTTGGGAGCTGGGGATGGAGCAGAAGAATGTCTGGTGCCAGCTGGAGCAGAGGATGGAAGCGACAGCAACGCTGTGGTATACGTCAGCCAGCAAGTGTCCCAGTGCTTGTTCCAGTGCCTGCTGGGATTTGCTGGGTGTCTCAGTATTGCTGGGATACAGAGCTGGGCAGGACATGCTGGCACAGCCAGGACTCTGGGACACAGCAGTGGTGAGGACACACTGTCTCAGTCTGTGCTCTCCACGAGACCTGCAATGGGTCTGCGGGAAGCCAGAACTCCTGCAGCTGTTGGAAACTCCAGTTTTGGCCAAAACCACTGAACTCAAAAACACTGTGAGGCCAGCCCTGAAACTTGCTGCAGCTCAGTCGGAGCAGCACGCTATGAGATTCCAGGCTCTCCATGTTTGCCAGTTCCTCAACAAAGCTGAAGTGCCTTTGGACTCTACAGAAGTAGCTCCTATTGCTCCCCATTTCTCACTAGAAGCCTCCCTCCAGACTGCTGGTCGAACAGGGATGGGAACACGGATTGGAGCTGCAGTGCCAAGGACAACCCAAGCCTGGCAAGTGGCACATGGAAGAGAGGCAGGAGCAGGGCAGAGTCAGTAGCTCCTATTGCTCCCCATTTCTCACTAGAAGCCTCCCTCCAGACTGTGCTGGTCGAACAGGGATGGGAACATGGATTGGAGCTGTAGTGCCAAGGACAACCCAAGCCTGGCAAGCGGCGCATGGAAGAGAGGCAGGAGCAGAGTTAGGGTGAGGGTTTATTTAATTTCTGTGCCAAACTGAGGTTGGCAGTTTGGCACGGAATGGAGCCCCTGCAGGGATTCAAGCGGGACACGAGCTGCCTGGATTGGTGTGGGGATGGAAGGAGGCTGCCCCAGCTCCCAAGCACACTGCTGGGCCAGCTCTGCTCCGCACCACGGTCACTCCGGAGTGCCTGCAGCACCCTGTCCATCAGCCACCAGGGTCCCCGTGGGTTTGTGTCAGCCCCTGTCCCCTGGCTCTGTAGGTGCTCGGCTCTGGATGTTCTCCAGCAGGCAGGTCACTGCCTGGGCCAGGATCTGCTCCAGCTTCTCCCGCTCCCCAGCACTGAACGGGGACAGGACATAGTCGGGCACTGTCACATCACCCTCTGGCCGCCCAATGCCGATCCTGAGCCGGGTCATCTCCTGGGGAGGAAGGAAGAGAGCTGGGAGAGCTTCCCCTCAAGTGTTCAGACAGAGCTGGGCAAGGTGACAGTGCTGAGAGTGGGGCTGGGCAGCAAGGGAGCAGCTCCTCATGTTTTCCAGCTGGTTTTGAGTGCTTGCTCCAAGAAACATAATTTTGGAAGAGGCTTTTGCTGGGCCGTGCCGAGATCCCAGGCTCCCGCCAGGCCTGGCACAGGCACTCAAACTAATTGTTTCCATGTCCTCCATGGCAGCCAAACAGAAAACAGCCCTCAGGAAGAAGGGGAAGGAGAGCAGGGGGGAAAGGGAGCAGGGGCTTGTCTAAGAGGAATCAGAAAAAAGGGAGTGGGGAAACAAGCCGTGCATTGAGGGGGGCACAGGATTGATCCCCTTCCCCTGAGGCTCACTCACGTTGGACTGCAGAGCACTGATGCAGGACTGGACCCCGTTGTGTCCCCTTGGGAGAGAAAGAGAAAACCCACACTTAGTTTGTAAGGGACAGCCCCCCATATAGCCCCGGGGTCTCCTGCTGCAGGAATGTGGGAATGTGGTCCCAGCCAAGGGCTGCAGTCCCCATGTCCTGGTTCTGCAGGAACATCCAGCCCTGGGGCTCAGAGCAGTTGGCTGGGGGCTGGAGGGATGCAGGGCTGGGACAGCACGTTCTGTGTGTGTCAGCTCTTGCTGCAGCTGGTGCATGTGTGACTGAGCACCGGGGCCCAGCACCGTTCCTGCCCCATCCCGCAGTGGAAGCTGTCCTAGGTTAAATAGGAAAGCTAGGTCTGGCACTGGGCAGGCACAGTGGAGGCAGAGCGCTATAAAAAGCCCACGTGGTGCTGTCAGTGGGCTGAATCCAGCCCATAGCTGCTTCCAGGAGGCTCCCTGCCCTCCCTGCCAGGGCAGGAACTGGGAGGCTGCCCAAACAGCCAGCTGTTGCCTCTGCAATAGATCGAGCCCAGGACAAGAGCTGAAACATTGCAAGGCTGGTGGGATGGGGCCAAGAACATCCCATGAACCTGTATGGGCATGTTAGAGCCTCAAACCAGCTCACACAATCAGGGAGCTGGGGCTCCCCATACCTTGCACTGCCTCCCAGCTTGATGGCCACCTTGCCCAGGGCCTTGTCCAGGTCGTCGTGAACCAGGTAAATGTCTTGAGGGCCAAGGCTATAGATCTCAGCTTTGGAAACAGAAATACAACTTAAGAAATGAGGGGAGACAGACTCACCAGGCCCTGGCTCTGCAGAGTGGGGCTGTAGTGAGCCGTGGAGGGCAGGGAGACAGCAGGGCTGTCACAGGAGGCTGGTGACACTAGAGCCTTTGGGGCTGACCCAGCTGCTCACCAGCACTGGCAACGCTGAGACCATTGAGGTTCATGAACCTCCGTGGCTTCAGCAGCAGCAGCTCCAGGCCGTGGGCTGTGGCCAGGGCCACATCAGCACAGCACCGCTTGTCCACTCGCCAGCCCTCGGCCACCGCCAGCTGCCGGGCCAGCTGGTCCAGCACCTCCATGCCCACACTGTGCCGTGTGCCTCGCAGCCCATAGTTGCCCAGGCCGGCCACCTGCATGGCAGGTGTCAACAGGGCTGTGAGGGGCCACCATCAGGCCCCTGGCCCTTGCACGGGCCTGATCCCCTCCAGCATGACTCAGACCTGCTCCCTCCATGCTCCCCGCAGCTGGCTGGGTCCTCACAGCCTCAATCCCCACAGCATTCCCTTCAGTCCCTCTTCCCTCGGTGCCTCCCTCACAGCCCTGACCGTGCCGGTGCTCGCCCATGACCTGATCCCCACCGGCACTGCCCTCACCGCCCTGCTCCGCCTGCTCGGCTCACAGTCCTGGTCCACCCTGTTCTGCTCACAGCCCCGTTCCCCCGATTCCCCCGTTCCCCTCACAGTCACGTTGCCCTCACAATCACGTTGCCCTCACAGCCCCGTTCCCCTCACGGCCACGTTCCCCTCACAGTCCAGCTCCCCCCGTTCCCCTCACGGCCCCGTTCCTCCCGCTCCCCTCACTACCCCCGCGGCCCCCCCCTCCCCACGAGCGCTCGCGCGCGCCCCGCCACCTCCGCCGCCAGCATCGCCCTCCTGGCCCGCGTGACGTCACGCCCTCGCGCCGCTCGGCGTCCCGCCCACGTCGCCTCGCGCCCCGCCGCCGCCATCTTGGTTACGGGCAGCGCCGCCATGTTTCTAGCGGGCGGCGGGGCCGTACCGGGGCAGTGCCGGGGCGGTACCGGGGGCAGGGCCGCCGTGCCGGGGGCGGTGTGGAGGGAGGTGTCGCCGCTGTGACAATGCCCGGCGGACCGGCGGGTGCTAGGGGTGGTTGTGGTGGGGACGCCGAGGCGCGTTAACGGGCGCTGCTGGCGGCCGCGGCCTGGGGACCGCCTGTCCCCGACAGCCCGCGAGAAGCTCCGCTGAGGGGCCCCGAGGGACTCGCAGGAGCCGTGGGTGCCCAGGACTGCTCCCCGTGGTTTGTGTTTGTGCCTGTTTTGCCCCGTGGCACAGGGCTGGATGGGGAAGCACAGCTCTCTCCTCACCGTTCCCCAACCAGCCTGCAGCCCGCGGTGGCTCCGCACCGGCCAGCAGGGCACAGCCCGCTGCCGGGGCACAGCTCGGTTCCAGGGCACAGCCCGCTGCTGGGGCACAGCTCGGTTCCAGGGCACAGCTCGCTGCCGGGGCACAGCTCCGTTCCAGGGCACAGCTCGGGTCCAGGGCACAGCCCGCTGCCGGGGCACGGACAGCTGCACACCTCGCTGTGCTGGAAACTGGAAATCTTCCAAGTCCTTCCATGCTACCTGCAGTCAGGAGTCAGTGTAAACACCTCAACTGTTTCATTCGTGTAAGATTTATTTTAAAATTAGAAATTCATATTTTTGCAAGAGGCAGAATGTTTGCATCTGTCTTTGGGCCAGCTCTTGGGCAGCCTTTGGGTGGCGTCTAAAATCCCCAAAGCTCAGGGCCTGGAGCTGGAATGGTCCCAGGCACTGGCAGCTCATTTCCATACAGGCAACAAGCAGAGCTTTGGAAGCTTTGAAGTGTCCTTACACCCCTCCCTTGAGCAGGTTGCTCCTAGACTCTGGTTCCTCTGACCTCTTACTCTGTAACAGCACAGAGGATATTAAAATCAGGGCAAAAGCCAGGCTGTGCATCCCATGCTTGGCAGTCTGGAGCACTAATCTTCTCTAACTTGTCCCCAGGTCCCCCATTGTGACACTCCCCAGAAGCTGAAGGGCTGCTGGCCCAGCCAAAGCCTGCAAGGTCTGACCAGCACAGGGATGTACAAGAAGCTCCACAGCTCACAGCACCAACCCTGCTGTAGAAACCGTCACTGAATAAAAGGAATTTTCAAAACCGTTAGCAGCACTGTGGGCTCCCCTGGAGGTAGGATGAGATTCTTCACGGCTGGTAAAGCAAGCAAGAAGTCTTTTGTTGTTGTTTTCCTGGTTTGCTAGAGGGAAATCCTTTGGCTCTTAGGGGAAAGATGGATGAAGGGGTGGTAGGGGAGCTTGGCTCATGGCAGATCAGGTGCTCCCCTCTCACATTACCCCCCTCATTGGTGTTGAAGCTACCAAGCACCTCTTCACAGTGAAAGGGAACTGGAATGTGGGTGGCTCTAAAACTTCCTTAAAAAGAAAACTTGGTTGCCATGTTGAGGTGTTCACAGGAGTCAGCACCAGTATTCATGTTGTGCCAAGGAGCTGAGGCACAGCTATGCTTAAAAAGGTTTTAAAAAAACTGTTAAAATGCTGTAAGGAAGAAATATTCTACTGTGGGCTCAGAATCTTAACATATTGGGTATCAACAGCTGCCAGAAGTGGGGAGAGCTGTGGATGGGTGCTGTGGACAGGGTGAGAACCTCCCTGACCCTCTCAGCATCTTCCCCATGTCATCACACACGTCTCAGGTGGTGGATCCACCTTTACCTGGCCAAGAGTGAATCAGTAAAGTGCTTTAAATAACATAATTTGCACCCGGTCCTGCAGCTGCATCCTGCAGTGGGCTCCTTGGAGCTGGAGAGAGTTCAGCAGGAGGGCACTTGTGGGGGGTGACACACCATTCCCACTGCACATCCCACCAGCCCTGGGTGCCTTCTAGCTCCATATGGATCTGAGAGAGGCCCTTGCCAGTGACTAGAAGAAAAAACTGATGCGAGATGCCACTGTTTTGCAGCCTGTTGATGAGAATAATTTCTCCTCTTCTGGGAAGTAGGGGATGCTGTCAGCCACCTCCTGGACGACGTCGGGGCGTACCTCGAGGCCCTGCTGGACAAGCTCACTGACCACACACTGCTTCACGTGGTGGTGCTTCAGAGGGAGGAAAGGCACAACAAAGTCAATGAGGTGTTCATTAATGATCCCAGATTTCCAGAAGCCACCTGCACAAGGAAAGGAAGAGAAGGTTTTACTTTCAGAGAGTCTCTGCAGTCCCTGCAATTCACAGAGCTGCTTTGTGAGAAGCCAAAATACTCTGCTGGAGAGAGATCTTGCTGGTTTTGAACCCATCAGTTGTCACCTCCCCCCCAGACAGATTTGTTCTCCAGGAATGGGGGGATTTAGCTTGTCTAGTCAGAATTTAAGCTCTGCTCCCTGTGCTAAGGGCAAGGCAAGGAGATGCAGGCAGGCAGTGGGGATCAATACAGCTCAGTGCTGTTCTGGCAAGTGTGCTGTGCTGTCTGCCAGCCCCCAGCTGCAAATACACCTTGTCTCCCAAGAACTATGCTAAATATAGCAACAGGTCTGCTGGCTCAGAAGGAAGGAAACCTCAAGGGGATTGCAGTTCCAATCCCTCAAACCCCCCTTGTCCTTTTCTGGCTGCCTGGGAGGTGGCAGGTGGTGTGGGTGGCTTCCTAGAACAGGCCTGGCTGCCTGTGCTGGGCTGTGGGGCTGCAGGAGGAGCTCAGCTCCAGGGACTCACTCTCAGGGTTTTCAAACACGGCCTTGGAGATGGCTGGCTCCAGGTCCTGCAGGCTGATCTCCTCCCGGTCCTTGCGGGCACGCCACAGAGCCAACGTCACGTTGTTGATCTGCTCCCCTCCTGCATTGCTGCACGAGAACGAGAGCCTTATCCACCGTGTTGCCAGGAAAATGGTGAAATGGTGTCTCAGGTGGCACCTGACACCCACCAGCCTGCAGAGAGCAAGCCAGCAGCTCCCAGCTGCCTGGCCCAAAATAACTCCTGTAGAGGCAGCCAAATAACAGCAGAGGAGGCTTTTTCACACTCTCCAGATCTGTCTGTTCACAGTGAGATAGCATCTCTTGGCATTTGTAGAGGCTCAAGGCTTGGAGAAGGAAAGGCAAAACAAGCTGTGCCCTCAAGTAGGTGCAACCTCTGCCCAAATGGGCAGCAGTGAGCTGGAAGGGCCCACGGAGAGGCCTCTCTCACCTGATGAAGATGAAGATGGCTTTGCGGTAGTTGGTCCCGTACACGACCCAGGAGGGTCCCAGGAAGGGGATGATCACATCAATCAGGCCTGGGTGCATCTTGTCCATCTCATCAAAGAGAAACGCCGACCGTCCACAGCTGGTCAGGTTCCCTTGGATCCAGCGCTTCAGGCTCTCCTGGGAAAGACACCCACCGAGCTGTGAGGCACTGAGCAGGCAAGGAAGGCTCAGCACCCCAGAGCAAAGGCTGAGGGAGCAGCTCAAGCACAGCCAAAGGTGCTGAGAGCAGCGTGTCCCTGCACAGCACCACACACTTGGAGCTGAAAGACCCAGTGCTGGGGAGGCCCCTTTATTCAGGGTTTCACACAGAGGCTGTTTACCAGCTTTTTTAGCCCATTGTAGGTCTTTTTATACAGATGTAGAGGAGGAGGCAGCACACTAAAGCTGGAGATTCAGACTCCTACAGCTCCCCACGTTCTTCTTGTTCTCTGTTGTATCTACACAGTTCCCAGCTTCTTGCCAGCTCCTGTTGTGATGCAGAAACATGTGCCTGCACTGACCCAGAACAGCTCTTTATCATGGCTGAAGGTACTTCCCAGCCCACACAAAACCACTCACATGGCCTGGGGGCATGTGAAACTCCTAACTGAAGCACTTCAGCCAGGAAGGGATTTACTTTTCCAAAAGCATTTCCTCTAAGGACACAATACAACAAATAATTTCTCCAAACACCCATAATCTGAAGGTCCAGGTGTGCTGAATTCTCACTCTGCTGAAAATCTGGCATTTTGATTTCTCTCTTTTCTCAGCTCTAAGAAACAGAATGGCACCATGGAGAGTGTGGAGTTGCTGTTAGGGAGCTGTGTGCTCTGTGAGGAGGGGATTACAATTCTAGTGATATGCAGCTTTTTACAGCCATCAGGCTGTTTGGAAAGCAATGGGAAAATTTTAGTGCCTTTCATCTAAGCCAAGCACTTTTGTTTGTGTGTTCAAAGAGCTGTGTAAATATTTAAGAATGAGAATATAATCAAGGCAGGGACTGCTGTGGAGAGGCCGAAAGTAATAAGTGAGTGTACTGCAGTTACTAGTGCATCCTTCAGCCAGTGTATGGAGCCACTCTCTCAGCTATGTTTGTCTGAGAGGGTAAAACAAAGAGCTTTTATTCCTACTGCACTTCAGGAAACAGCTTGAATGCATATGTACTGAGGATCAAGCCAGACACAGCCAACCCCCCCAGAGAAGTGGCACTGCTGAGCCGTGTCCCTTACCTTGTACTGCTCTATCTGCTCGGCGTGGGGGAAATGCACTATGGGGGAGAAGTGGTGAACATAGGGGCTCTGGAGCCCGCTCTGGAAGAGGTAGCGGATGAGCATGGAGCTCACGTAGGTTTTGCCTGTTCCTGTCGAGCCGTGGAAGGACATCACGAGGGGTTTCAGTGGATTCGGGTTCTCCAGGAACTCCCTCAGCCCCTTCATCACCTGCTGCCTCACCAGGGGCTGCCCCACC